AGTCATCAACCGTCGAAAGACGTCCACTGCTGGACAAACGCCTCCCCCTCCTCCACGTCAAACGATAACTAGCCACCTGCATCCACTGGCGCCCTGCAACTCTGGTTAATGCCTTATAATGAATCATCATTATCATAACAGTTAGAAGACGTCCACTACTGGACTAGGGCTTCTATAATGCATGCTCAACGTAATGCTGAGGTGGAGGCCCGTTCGACATGGGCATGAATTTTTGTCAATTTTCTGATGTTTATTTTTTGTTTTAACATGTTTTTTTATTCTCATTTTTCGTCTACATCTCTGTGCATATGATGTACCAAATAAATGTTTTCTTTCTTTCTTTCTTCGCCCTTGGCCCTTATAATAAATACTAGTCAGTATGAAATTACATATTTTATTATAATAAAAAAGAATAACGTAGGTAGCCAAGCTATTTTAGTTTCTTTCATCTTACCTTGATTTATTATCCTATTGTTGTCTAGTTTGAAATACAATTACAATCCATATTTTTTATGTACTTTGACCTTAACAAACCTTAAATACCGTCATTATAGACACAATTATAGAACAATAGGTTGCGGTCACCGGTGACCGCTCGGTGTTTGATAGTTTAATAGACACAACATCTGATTATGGCTGAATAGCTGATGGCAGATCGAAATAGTATACATGGCGATTCGTTATTAAACCATAATAATCTCGTATGGGGTTGTAGAACAGACCATTTCCAACATTTTTATTGATCAAAGGGCTAAGCTGAAATTAACAGTAATTAAAATAGTGTTGAATTAAAAATAATGCCAGCTGTAACTCTAAAACTGAAAAAAAAAAACAAAAAGAAATGTACTAGAATTAGTTTAATAACTTAAATGTGTGACTAAGCGCAAATCTCGAAAGCAGCTGAATCGATTTTGAAATAGAAAATATAGTGATTCAGGAGGAAGGTTACATCAACAGCCTCTTCTCACACATAGTATATTTAATCACCACTCAAACTCATTACGGGTTGGCGTTTTAAAAAATTATAAGCCCAGGTTTCCTCACGATGTTTTCCATCACCGTTTGTCAGTGATGTCTAAATAATCTTAGAAAGTACATATAACTTGGAAAAAGTCACATTGATACTTGCCGTTGGTAGGTTTCGCGCCCGCGCCGCACATGAGAAGCGGGCGTTTTAAACCTCCGGGCCACTGCGACAATATAGAAACCGATGAAGGTTTATACTAGAAAAATTACGTAATATACTTAATCAAAAATATATTATTTCGATTGTTAAATACAATAAAATATTAAAAAATAATCACATTTTCATTGATTGATTTTATGACTAACTTAATTTTTGTATTTTTCCAGTAAATTTTTAAGAAATAAGTATGCTGTTTGACGCTAAAAAAAGTGACGTCACAATACACAAACTCGTACAAAATTAACAGAGGCCTTATTACGAGTTTCATTTACATTTAAAGTATTCGAAACGAGTACGCGTTCGACACTCTGATTGGCCGGCGCCAATGAACCAACCAATCAGAGCGCCGAACGCGTATTCGATACGATTACTTTATACGTAAATGAAACTCGTACTAAGGCCTCTGAAAACTGTCGTTTTTCACAGTTCGAAAAAGGTATTGAATTTGATTAGTTGGCAAGTACCCGATTGTGTACTATATCTGATATCTAGAATTCTTATGACAAGATACGTAATACCAGCTTAAGGCGTGTCTGTCATGTATTTATCATGATTTTATCTTTTACAAACCACTTGTAATACTATATTTAGCCATTGAATTTCATCATCATTGCCTGGGACTATCCACATCCACTGCTTTTTTTGAGGGGGGAAAATCATCCAATGACTTCTCCCGCCTTGGGTTAGGCGGGAGGGAGTGTCAGACTCTTACTGACTAAAAACCACCCCGTTTCTACTCCAGGGTGCTTACTCTTGAAACCAATCTCAATGTCAATGCAATTTCAATCCAATTAAATCTCAATAATTATCCAATGTCAAAACTATACAACCACAATCGTAGCTGTTAAAGTAGAAATTTTGAATACGGAATATAAAGCCAAACTCAATACCATTTAGTTTATTAAATATCCACGCAATACGAATGAAATGGGCGCTAGTGTTGCAACTCAAGAGTACGAAATTTCACAATACCAATGTCGATCGATCGGAATTGGATTCAAGAGTAAGCCACCTGCTCTTCGAGCCGGAGCCACGGTAATCCGTTAGGCCTTCCGCGGCTCCGTATCGGCCATATAGGGCCCCATCTGTGGTGGTTTGATGGCTCTTTGAGGCCGCCGTACACACGGGTCTGGTTCTGATCGGGCGGCGAGCTTCCTTTGCTCACCGCCCGCAGACCCGCACTTACGGTGGCCGGATATTCAAAGTCAAAGTCAAAGTCAAAATCATTTATTTCAATTAGGCCAGAATGGCACTTTTGAACGTCAAAATAAAATTAATATTAAAAGTAAAGCTATTTGCTCATTCCAAGGTGTAGATTCCTATGGAGAAGAACGAGCAAAAAACTCCATAGGTTACTCTTTTTCAATCAGGTTCACAATACAATTTACTAGTTACATAGTTTTGCTGTTTGGATTGTGTGAGAACAATGTAACACCAAAATCCAGTCAAAGTGATCAAGAAAGAAAATAACCTTAAGAACAATAATACAGTCTGGAGCTGACCAGTCCCAGTTGACGGCGCCCGTTCACGAACATGACACGTACACCAGCACCGCCCAACTCAACCATATTGTAGGGAATCGAGCGATCCACTGCACGCGCCACCGCCAATGAGACCTTTGAGTGAGCATGACAACTCCAAGCTGACACAAATTAATTCTACTAATCTAATTTAATATTAAGTTAATTACAGGGCTCTCACATTTACATTGGTTATATAAGTTAAAAAATATACAATTTAGCAATATGCCTGTATTATTTACGATTTCATTAAAACAACAGTGCTTTTAGTTATCCTGTGGAGCCGGACCAGCCTGCATCCAAGCATTTTTATCCTCTATATATTCATTAAGTTTGTAATATGCTTGTCTACATAAAGTTTTCTTTATACATAATTTAAATTTGGATTCATTTAGTTGTTGTACATCGCACTATCCACTGTTGGACTATGGCCCTCCTCTTCATAAGAGAGGTTTGCCATGCCCGTACGTAAGAATAGTAAGGGTGGTGAATAAGTCTACTTTGGTGTTACCATGTGATGTGAAAAATTTTTTTGAACAGAGTAACGATGGTGTACCTTACTCGTATTTCTCCATTCGAACACCTAGCTTCACTAACAAATATATTTGACGACTAGCAGCCCGTCCCGGCTTCGGACGGGGTAGACAATTATTTATTTTTGGAAATTTGGATTGTTGTAGTAACATAACTACAATAGTTGGGCATATGCTACCGCGGAGTTTTTTGTAGACATTATGATGTTCTTCAATATTGTTGTACATTAATTTATTCTATCGCTAATAGTTTCGGCAGCGCATTCGACGAAAGACATTTTAAGACTCATTTTTCTACACCTTCGGTTACATTGTTCAAATTTTACCAAGGATCCCTAATTTTTTTCAAAATAAAATGTAGCCTATGTCAAATTGGAAGAATGTAGCATTCTATTGGTGAAAGAATTTTTAAATCGGCCCAGTACTTTTTGAGCCTATTCATTACAAACATACAAAAATAAGGTACAAATCTTTCTTCTTTATAATATTAGTATAGATTAAAAAGTGTCCAATCAAGGATTAATTGAAATAATTACTTTCACTTTGACTTTGATTTCGATGATGTGACTATAAACTAAACCTTGCTAAAAATAATGTGTTAAAATATGTATTTTTATCATTTAACAAATATTTTTCGTATATTTCTTATCATATAGTTGAGCCTCTTATAAAAGTAGTTCACAAAGTAGTTACATGACTATTGTATGATAACTCAAAACCGGTTTAAACAGCAAATATGTTCAGTGTGGGAGAGCCATGCTTCAGCACGAATGGGCCGGCTCGACCGGAGTGATTCCACGGCCGAGCAGAAAAGTGGCGTGAAGCAACGCTTGCGTTGTATTTTGTCGTGTGAGTGAGGTTACCGGAGGTCCAATTACCCTCCCCTTCCCCAATCTTCCCAATTCTTGAATCCCCAACGATCAACCCTTAAACTCCTAATCTCCAAAAGGCCGGTAACGCACTTGTAACGCCTCTAGTGTTCCAAGTGTCCATGGGCGACGCCGATTGCTTACCATCAGGTGATCCGTCTGCTTGTTTACCGGCTTATGCCATAAAAAAGTTTGGCAAACAAAGAGTTTGATGCGTTGCCAGCTGGAACTAATATTGACTTGGACTGAATCACCACCACTTCGGACTATATCACATGAATAAACAATCATCTGAACATAGTACCTCCTCTTTTTGAACTTCATAAAAATAACAAATATCAAAACCGATTGAGTCGCACTGTACCAGGTTGCCACAGGGACGATACTAGCGACCTCATTTATTCCGAACTCTTTTTTTGTCAAGCTGTATATTACTATTGCTTCATTGGCCGAGTGATCGCAAGTGCGACTACTGGGCAAGGGTTCTCGGGTTCGATTCCAGGGTCGGGCAAAGAATAAGTGTTTTTAAAAAAATTCTCAGCAGTGTCACGGAGTCTGGAATTGTGCTCGGTATTTGGCAATAGGCTCACCCCCTATTACATGGGACTCATAACATAAATAGTGAAAAGTGGGTGTTACATTGCACAGTGGCATTAAATGCCGTAATGTGCACTTCGGCTTATTCCTTCGGGGATAAAAGCCTCGATGTTATGTATATTAAAACTAGGCTGTCTGCACGGATTATGTTTGTAAACGCATTCAGAACACAGGGGGCCTACCACAACGTCTTAAAGCAGTCTTATTATAATCTTACTTTGTATTTTCGTACCACAACGTCTTAAAATAACCTTATAAAGAGTTCTAAAACAATCTTACTCTTTTAGCAGTTTTGGTGACGTCACCTACGTATCGTTCGTTCAAACCGTACCATGAGGTGTTTTGTGACGCTTAGCAATATTGTTTTTACGTCAAATTTAGCAATCTTAAATAAGTTGCTCCGGTGCTACTTCAACAACATTGATTTGCGGAATTTATTGAAAAATAAGTGTTACTTACACAATTACACATTGCATAAAGTGAGTAAAACGGCACAAAATATGTAAAATTGCCTGTATTAAAATTGTGTTATGTGTATTGTAGTGAATTTGGTGTCCAGATACATAATTTTGTTGTTTAGTTTTAGATGGCAAGTGAATACGAAATCTTTGAATTTTTGGAGGCTGATCACGCCGGGCCCTCGAAAAGTCATAATAACATGCAAATGTGTGAAGAGTGTCCGCCTTTCCGTTTAGACGACACGGAATTAGTTAGACGATATAGGCTAATACAGATGAACTTGTACGCAATTTATGTGACGAAATATAAGGCCATCAATGAGAAATCCACAAAAATCCACAGACTTATCTATCGAGACGAAGGTAATTATAACGCTAACAGTATCAAAAAAGTATTTAATGTGCCAATTTACCCCTTGTATGTTGAATTGAAATTAAAATTGATTCTTTCATTTCTAGGTGTTCAGTGCATTGCAACCACATATAGGCAATAATGAAGGACGTTTTGTGTCAGCAAACTGTATCATCTGCCATCCCACAAGTTGC